GGCACACACCTGTAATCCCAGCATTCTGGTGGCTGAGGCAGGAGGATCACTCCAAGTTTAAGGACAGCCTGGAATACGTAGAGAGAATGAATTTAAGGTCAGCTTGAACTCCTTAGGGAGACTCCATCTCAAAAAACAAATATTCAGAGTATCAAACTGCTTTATATTTAGTTTACCTGTTAGGCAGGTAGTTAGACATTAGCAGGTCTGAAAGTGGCGTGTGTTCCAAAACAGCATGTGTAGATGTGAAATTGATTTGCAGATGACATAATACTCCATATAGAAGACCCCAAGAATTCTACCAAAAAATCTTTTAGACTTAATAACCAAATTCAGAAGAGTAGCTGGATACAAGGTCAACACACAAAAATCAATAGCCTTCCTGTACACTAACAACAGACTCATTGAGAGAGGAATTGAAGAAACAACTCCTTTCACAATAGCATAAAGAGAAATATCTAGGAATCAACCTAATGAAAGAAATCAAAGACCTCTACTCTGAAAACTATAGCACTCTGAAAAAAGAGATTGAAGAGTATATCAGAAAATACAAAGACACCTTTTGCTCCTGGGTAAGAAGAACCAATATAGTGAAAATGGCCATACTTCCAAAACTGCTATATAGATCGAATGCAATCCCAATTGAAATTCCAAAAGCATACTTCACAGAACTCCAGAAAACAATCCAAAAATTCATTTGAAACAAGAGACCTAGAATAGCAAAAGCAGTTCTAGGCAACAAAGACAAGGTAAAGGGTATCATAATCCCCAACGTGAAACTATACTACAAAGCTACTATGATAAAAACAGCACAGTACTGGCAAAGAAGCATACCAAAGGATCAGTGGAACAGATTAGAAGATGCAGAAACAGGATTTAGCTCAGTGTTGCTGCCACCTGCCTTGCAAATGCAAGGTCTTGAGTTCCTCCCCAGAACCACACACACACACACACACACACACACACACACACACAAAGATGCAGAAACTACTCTTGACACACTCAACTACTTCATCTTTGACAAAGAAGCCAACCACCCTCTTTGGAGGAAAGAGATCCTCTTTGATAAATGGTGCTGAAAAACCTGGGTTTCAACTTGTCAAAGATTAAAACTAGATCTATTATTTTTCACTATGTACTAAACTAAAATCAAAATGGATCAAAGATCTAAATATTAAAACAGAAACACTAAACTGGCAGAAGTGGTTAGGTAGAACTCTTGAAGACACTGGTGTAGGAAAAGATGTTATGAACAAACCTCAGTCATACATGAGCTAGCACAAAGAATCAACAATTGGGATCTCATCTTATTATAAAGCTTCTGCACAGCAAGAGAAACCAACAGTGTGAAGAAACAACCCACAATATGGGAAAATTTTTTTACCAGCTGTTCCTCAAACAAAGGTCCACTATTTAGAATATATATGAAGAACTTAAAAAAATCAGACCTCCCAAATTTAAGACCCAGTCCAAAAATGGGCATCTGAAATGAACAGACATTTCTCAGAAAAAGTAGTAACAGCAAAAACATATGAATTAATGCTCAATATCACTGGTCATTCGAGAGATGCAAATGAAAACAATGCTAAGAATCCACATCATTCCAGAAAGAATGGCTGCTCTCAAGAAATCAACCAATAACAAATCAAATGGCAGGGTTGTGAGGAAAAAGAAACTCTTTTCTACCATTAGGACTACTGTGGAAATCAGTAGGGAGATACCTAAAAAAACTAGGATTAGAAGTCCCATTTGACCCAGCTATTCACCTGCTGGGTATCTTCCCAAAAGAAATGAAATAAAATGGAGTACTACTCAGTCATAAAGAATGAGAAACCAGAGACATTTACAGCTAAATGGATGCACATTCAGGCCATTCAAGTGAAATACATAGGACACACATGAGTAAATACCGAATAGTTTTTCTGGTGTGAAACTAAAAATGTAAATAAGGATCAAACTGTACAACAGATAATGTGAAACAGGAACAAGAGCTCCAAAGGGGAAGGGGAAGTAGGAGACATAGAGGAAAGGAAAGAAGGGGAAGGAATAAATATGAGAAAAGGAAAAAATGGAAACAAAGTCTTTGTAACTAGGGAAGGGTGGAGGGGTTGAAGAGAGGGCAGGGGATGGGGAAAAAAATAAGAACCAAGATATATCATGTATAGGTACAAATTCCCAATGATGAATATCATCAAATTGTATACCTAAAATGTACCATAAAAAAATAACAAAAATAAATACCAGCACATTTGCCAGTTAAGAAATGAAGACTTCAATGTATAATACATTTATAATCATTTGTTAGGAATCAGACTTAAAGCAATCCCACAGAACCCAATGACACTTTTAAGTTTATACATTGTGCACAGTCCTTTGGATACCTGGCTACCTGGATACTACAGTATTCCGGGCTGCCATTAATCTATAGCCCAGTGATATCAGAAAATGAAATGTTTTTTTTTGGGGGGTACTAGGGATCAAACTCCGGCTCTTGTGCTTGTGAGGCAGGCTCCAGAACCATTGAGCTAAATCCCCAGCCCCAAAATCCCTCTGGCCTTGGGCTGCAACAGTTTAAATTAAGATCTTATCTTTCACACATTTCTTACATGATTAAAACCCCTGAGAAAACACTGACCATCTAAAAGGATAGGAAGACACTTTCCAATTCCATAGTACCTTCTAAGTAAAGCAGCAAGAAAGATCGTAATTACTCTAGTTCTCTGAAAATCAGGAGTAACTTTTGTGTGCATAAAAAAGCATATACAAACTTGAAATGGTGAAGATGCCTCTGGCAATGCCAGTTTTTCTTATTTTAAGGTGTAACTCTCTGTATCTACTTTACAACAAATTCTGCCTATACTTCTACACCATTTATGTGTCTTGACTAAACTCACCAAAGGCACAAAGAACCTAGGACATACGATTAAGGAAGTGAGGGGCCATTTTCTTGCTCTCAGGACTCAGCTAGGTAACAAACATTCAGCAGTTTTGTTTTAAAATGTGAATACTTAAAATACACTAGGAATGATATGTTTTTCAGTTTTTATGTTTTATTTGTACATGTTTGCAGTACACAATGATTACCTTCCCTGTGGCGAGCTGGTGTGCGTTGTATGTGACACATCTCAATTCTTTTTTTTTTCATCCCTTTCTCCAATCCTTCCTCCCCTTTCTCTTCCCTCCATCTTTTGGTCTCCTTTCCATTTGCAAAAGATTTCCCCTTTTCCTATTATCTATCTTTTGTTTTGCTTTTTTATTTGTACTTTGTGTAGCAATGACATATTTTTAAATTATTTAAACTTCAGATAAAAAATTTTGGGGACAAGGGAGAGATGAGGGAAAAATGAACAAAGGGCTCAAAATGATCAAGATCTGCAATATCCATATACCAGTCCACCAAAACAAATTTAACTATGATGTATTGCTAACATGCACTAATAAAAAGAAATTCAGCTGTAAATATAAAAGCATCAAAGAAGTAACATAGTTTATAAATTATTTGAAGGGGTATATAAGTAAAACAATGTCTAAAGACCATAAAGCGATCTAAATCACTGATTTTCCAGCTTTGGCCTTTCAGATTAGGAGTGTTTATTGATGAGAAATTCAGATTTCAGCTTCTTAGTGATGGTATCAGTACAGGCATGGATACATTATGCTCTAAGATATTCAATAAAAAATACAGTAGTCATTTTTTACCTATGATGGGAGAAGAATGATGGGTTCTGGATAATGTAGTAAAAGGAGTCTTAAAATATAATTTATCAAATCAGTTGCCAATTTATAAATTCTCTAATAATTTTCTAAACTTACGATGCAGGCTGGAACTGAATGATGGCATTCCTCGGCAAGAGTTAAAATTATAGGAGCTTTGGAGAAGTCTTTCCTTCACTAAGGTAGTTGGTAAAATTATATCACTTAACATGAGTGCTAACGTAGTAGTAAAATTATTGGCTACATTTATTAATGCTATCCTCACTGCACAATCTGATGCAAAAATGGGAGTTTGTTATAAAGTGATCTGCTGCACCACATCCATCTTAAGGCATACTAAAATAATGCCCTAATCTATCATGACCATCAAACACACTTTATTTTTTCCCTTTATTTATTTTCTGTGGTGCCTTACACGATAAGCAAGTACTCTACTACTGAGCCACATCTTCAGTCCAGACACAGGTTAGCTAAGCAGCAGTACTGTAGCACTGGCTGAAGCTCCCAAAATATGGCCTCAATCAAAAAAAGAAAATTACTGAAAAAATTTTACCAAGTGTTTAAAAATAACTAATAATTTCAATTCGTAACACTTCTTTACCACCTACAGATGAGAAAGTGCAGCTTCTAAGGTGTGGGCTACACTACTGCATTACTGATTTAGACAAAGAAGGAATGTATTTTAGTAAAAGGAAGTGAGACTGTTGATTGACAGTGCTTGGAAAAAAGGTTAAAAATTCAAAAGGAGTGACTGCATGTGGCTCAGAACTTAAAAGCTTTTTTCTCTTCCCAACAAAAGAGCAATGGCAAGTAATAGCAGGTTGCCATGGAGATGAGAAACTAGAGGGATGAGAGAACTCAATTTGCAGTTAAATGGGCTGGAAACAATTCTTACTACTTGGTGAAGAAAAGCAATTAAAAATATACTTGATTTCCAGAGGGAATCTTTTTCACTTAGCCATTTCCCAACCTCATTAATGAACAAGAAAGTCTAAAACACCAAATGAAAATTCAAAGTATCCCTAGATTGAACTCATTAGACATAATTCAGGATTTCAGACACCATCACAATCCTTTCTAATATGAGTGACTGTGGTTCTTTTCAATGGTAATTGTTAGTAAATAATGTCACAAGACAAAAATTATGTTGAAGAACAAAGATATTGAGGGGACTGGAAATTCAGTGGAAAAAAAGAGCACAGCAAATGGAACAGTAACCAGAGTAAGAAACAATTTGAGTACAATCTAGGTATTGAAAAACCTCTTCATAGTCAATCACTGAATACCTTTGTGAGTGCTGTAAAGAGCTGCAAACGTCACCATGAAGAAAGTTGTAGAGTATTTGCCAGCATTAACTAAGTGAGGAAAGGCCCTTTTTGTGTCTCGGTATCTGCGCAGGCACTGGATGAAGCGAAGCCAAGCAGGAATGCATTGAACAATGGCTCGCAAACCATATGAATATTTGTGGCAAATTTCTGGTTCTGTAAAGATTTCAAAGAAGAAAAAAATTTTAATTGAAGAAATAGTCTGTTCACATTATTTAGCCGTAGAGAGCAACCATCAACAAGAAGCAAAAGGCCTGGGTTTCAGAATCACTTTCTTTTGTTTTGTTTTTTTCCTTCATTGAGTTTATTGGTATATTTTAGGTATACAGTACAGTTACATTCATTGTTGGGATCTTATACCTTTACATGACAGGTCTTGGTTCTCATTTTTTCCCCTTGTCCCTGCCCTCCCTACACCCCCTCCTCCCCTCCCCATTTACAAACATTTTATTTCCATTTTTTCATTTTCTCCTATTTTTTCCCATTACTACCTTTCCCCTACCCTTCCCACTTTCCCTACACCTTTAGCCCCTTTTTTTCCCAAAATCACTTTCTTCTTTGCAATTATTATATTCTCAATGTTTTTAGTAGCATATAAACTAAAGAGAAAAGGTAAAATCTGTAGGGGGAAAATCTGTCCTCTCAGATTTCTGGGTATCTGAGCTAGAATAATTTTTTAACAAGTATGATATAACAGGTGTGATCAACCTATAACAGAACTAAGATCTACTGGTAATCACTGAAAATGTGTTACACAGATGTCATCCTTCTGTTAGATGCAACAACCTATCTAAATTAAGATCTTTGACATGAAAGTAAAATCCTTTATTAATCTGAACTCCGGACAAAAAAACAGAAATGACCAAAAGAAAAATGACCAAATAAGAATTCAACCATCGATCATGACTTTGTAGGCCAGGCGTGATGGCATACACCTGTGATCTCAGCACTTGGGAGGCTGAAGCAGGAGGATCACTTTGAGCTCAAGGTCAGCCTGGACTATGTAGTGAGTTCAAGGCCAGCCTGAACTACAAAGGTAGACCCTGTCTCAAAAAACCAAAAATAATAATAACAATATCATGACTTTCTTCAAGCATTCAATATGATTATAAATAATCCGTATTTCTGATCACCTGTAAATATCTAATGCTGTACAACTGTGGTGGAAAACCTAAGGCATACACACTGCATCTGGCTATTTGTTATCTTGGAAAGCTCTAAAGGTTTACCATCACTGCCTAGAGCAACACTGTGATGGAGAATGTTGGAATTACAGCATCTGCAATATAACTACCGATGAAATGAACTTAAAAAAAAATAGTTTCAGAATTCTTTACATTGTAAATCTAGCAGCAAAGGGCTGGCTAAAGACATAACATAATTTAAAACTCAAATTATTTCAAATAAAGAGACTTAAGGACAGAGTGCCATGTATACTTAGTTAATCTGTAAAATTACTGGATGAATTTTTAACATGACCTAAACTTTCTCAGTTATCATTTCCAGTATTTCTTGGTTTATACTGGCAATTTAGTAGCATGAATACAAATTCATACCCTACCTTCTGAATTATTTGGCAACAGGCCCTTACTTTCCTCCCATTTGAGCTCAAAACTGTAGAAGCAGATCATATATTCCAAGTCCATTAGTATCACTGACAAGCTGTTCAGCTGATCGGCCAGCCAGAAATCAGCAAAGCCTACCTTATGGAAGGGAGCTGTAAATACTCGAAACTGAGAGAAAGAAAGGAAAAAAAAAATCACACAACTCAGAAATAAGAAAAGTCACATTAAATTTCTTTAAGTCACAGCTGACCATTTAGTATGATTGATTAGCTGATAAAATGGAAACCAATGAACCTACCACAAATATAAGGACCAAAGCAACAGTGGCTGGGTTGACTACTGGGGAAGGGAATTCGTTGAATGGATAACTAAGGGGATGGATGGGGGAAGGAATAGCCATAGTTAAAAAACAAAAAGCAAAGAGGTGGGAAAAGTTGAAATCAAAAGCAAAAAGTGGCAGCAGGCAGAAGTACCCAAAGAAAGTCTAACATCTATTACCATATCTAGAATGTTTACTCATCTTAGCTAACTGAATATAAAGTTCCTCCTGCAAAGGATAGATAAGAAAAAATGATACACTATCTGAGACATGCCTTATTCTCTACCCAAAGTGACTTTCATTTCACTATCATTGTAATGATTGTGTTCATCTTGAAATTACAAGTATCAGTCCTCCTCTCACTGTTCTGAAAACAATACTAAATGTGTTAAAGGTATCAAACACTAAGTCATGCTGTGTATTTTCATTAGAGGTTGGTTATACTTTAAAACATTCATGACAGGGCCATAATTTGTTTGTCTTGCTGTCAGGTGGTTCTGAACTACTGGTAGTACACATGACTACCCAATGGGCAGCATGGGACAGTCCTATCATATGGTGCAAGCTGCCTAACAGGACTGTCATGCACACATCACCAGTGGTTCAAGCCCACAGGAATGTGTTGATTCTTATAACAATTCTAAAGGCTAGGTACTATTCATATTCCCATTTTACTGAAGCGTTACATCAACTCAACCTGACTTATTTTGTGGAAACCTACTTATGAGCGCAAAGGGAAATCCTTCCATAGAGAATGGAAGGATTAGATTAATGCAATCACCAGAAATAAGCTCAAATTGTGTAGATTTCTTTGAAAACCTACATGAAGTGAAGATAGGATGAAGGTAACTTTAATCCTTATCTTCTCAGACCCCTTCTATCTTATTCTACAGAAGAAAAATGGGCTCTGGAAACAAGGAAATCTAAGTAAGCATAAGTTTTGAGAAAATCAGTCAAAACGTCTAACTTCCTGGACATCTATCTATATTTATTTAATAGACAAATTCAACCTAGGAGTCTATTTCACTCTCCTCTCAGATTCAGTTGATTCTTTCTATTCTTTCTCTAAATAGTTATTTTTTATTATTTCAGGGAAATAAATGGCTATATTATGAATCAATCTCGGATGCCTACTACCTATGACAGATCCTATCTTGGAGCTCTGGAAGCTAGATCAGGGGGTCTGTAGGATAAAATGAAGGTTTTGAGACATTTTCTGAAGCTGATATATTTCGGTTCCATAACTCAGTCTTATTAACTACCTGGCTCTTTTAATAAGTCCAGTACACCAGAAAGAAAGGTAACAACAATTTACAAACATAAGCTCCATGCATAGTTAACTCTCTGGGAATCGGGGTTGAATAAGGATGGGATATTAGTGATCTGTACATGAAGAGGTTCTGGTGCCTATTTTTATTTTTTTCTTTCCCGGTACTAAGGATTGAATTCAGGAATTTGGGCTTATGCTGCTCCACTGAGCTACATCCCCAGCACCTCTGGTGCTTGTTTTTATAAAATTTTGAGAAACTAGGGTGCAGAATGGACTGGAAGAACTCAAAGAGATAAAGACAAGAGGAAAATTTAGCATTTAATACCAAAGGATTGGGAAATTTGCAAATTTCTAGCTAACATGAGACAGATTTCCTTTACTCTTAAAATCTGCCAAACTAATCCTCAAAACCTGGCTAATAGAGACAGCCTCCAGAAGAACAGCAGCAGCAGATAATGCATTAAATAGAAAACAAAGGGATGGGGTGAGATTGGAAAAGGAAGAGATCAGCATTTTAAAAAAGGAAGCTGAAAGGGAAAATTTATAGGAAACAGAACATGAATAGGAAGAAAGGAGGACTAGCAAATATTGGTATAATACAACTAATGAAGGAAAAATATAATTATAATTATTCACACATTTAACAAAGATTTACTATTTACTGTACTTAAGGCACAGTGCAGGTACAGATATAAATAAAACAGTCTTTGTCCTCTGAGACCTCAAAGTTGGGCAAATACCTAGAGATATAATTATGGTACCATATGGTAACTGCTATTATAAAGACACATTTAAAACATCCTGGGGGTCGGGGATTTAGCTCAGTGGTTCCGCTGCCTGCCTAGCAAGCGCAAGGACCCGAGTTTGATCCCCGATACAAAAACAAAACAAAACAAAACAAAAAAATCCTGGAAGTAGAAGTATAGAGAACAAGTAGCTCTGACAGAGGTAAGGTGAGAGGGAGAAAACAAATGGATCGTGATCACTGACATTTACATAAAAATTCATTTTAGATTTCTCTGAATTCTTTTGAGTAAGAATCTTGTAACTACACTCTCATTTTCTATTCTTATACCTTTCAAATTCTTCACTTTTACTTTGTGATTTTGATTAAAATGATAAAAATTCTGAAACAATACTATGAAAGTGAAAGCCATTAACATTTTACCACATATATTACAAATACCGCTAAACAGTTATTACAGGATAACTATTCCCTATGTAAAATACTTGGGGTTCAGAAACATTTTAGATTATTAGTATATATACAATGAGAGAGCTTGAGAATAGGGCCTAAGTCTAAATATAAAATTCACTTATGTTTCCTATATACCTTATACACACACTCTGAAGGTAATTTTATACAGCATTTTTAGTGTCCCTGCATTCCGATTGTGATCTATCACACTGAGGTCAAATGTGGAATTTTCCACTAATAGGGTAATGTCAGTGCTTAAAAGGTTTTGGATTTTGAAGTATTTTGTATTTTCTGACTAAGGATGTTCCACTGTGCAATAAATGTTAATATGATCTTCTAAGTTAATACAAAGAGCTAAGAAGGTAAATTTTGTTTTCTTTTTTACCACGCTAGTACTGAACCCAAGACCTCACTGAGCTACATCCCAGCCCCGTTTTTAAAATATATTCTTTCCCCTCATTGTTATTGGTACATTTTAGGTATACAGTACAGTTACATTCATTATTGGGATCTTGTACCTTACATGACAGGTCTTGGTTCTCATTTTTTCCCCTTGTCCCTGCCCTCTCTCCACCCCTCCTCCCTACCCTGTTTTTAAAATTTTTAAATTTTGAAATAGGGTGTTGCTAAATTGTCCAGGCTGAGTCTGAGTTTGTGGTTCTCCTGCACCCGCCTCCCAGAGTCTTGGGACTACAGGGATGTGCCACTACACCTATCTGAGAAGACACAATTTTATTTTTAGAGGCTTGTAAATACCTTTGCCAATGTGATTTTTAGATCAAGTTAAGATATTTTAGATAAAGTGACTAATACTAGATGTTTTTGTTTAGAAAATCTAAGGTGTTTCCTATTTTCTAATTGGATTTCTGACTGGGTCAAACACTAAAGAGCTAAGGAAGAGGGCATATGATATGATCTAATGGATGTAAATAAGTTGCACTTAATACCAAGATAAGTTATTATCTTAAAGAATTTTTTCAGCTTTTTTAAAAGGGAAGATGGGTAGCATATAGAAATTCCACAGATGCCAATATAAATGGCACCCACTGACTATCATTATGGCCATGTGATGCATGCGTTTATCCCACTGAAAAATTGGAGAAGAAAAAGAAAGAGGGAAAGAGAGTTTTATTTTAGGAAAAGGCTTTAATAAGTTATTTCAGAGAAATGTAACTAGAGTAAAAACATTTTTGTTAGTTCACGAGAAATAAATCTAAAGGCAAGTTTTATCAGTGAGATTTGAACTGAAATAAGTCAACAGGTCAACTGTATAAACGACATATATATGATAAGATTCTTGCTTATTATTAAAAAAAAAACCATAATTCTTCTTTTCATATTTCACTGCTTTGGATAATGTATCTTATTCTTCTACTATTCATTCTTATATCACTATTGCTAACCTATTCCATCAACAAGTTCTCATTTATTAACAAACATAGAACAGATGCACAGATAATGACTACTCAATGGGGAATCCTTCTGTTAATAAGAGTAATTGGTCATGCATGAACCACAGCTTGCTATTTAAACAAAGAAGGATGCACTGGGGAAATGTTCACTTAGCACACAGTGTACACAACTATATTATCATGTTATTGCAATAATACAATTGTAGTAACACCCGAGTTTTCAGTCATTTAAAAATCTCATTTTAAAATAATTTCATGAGATTGCATACGGAGGCAGGAAACAATAGGAGTTTAAATATACACTATTTTAAATATACTCCCCAGCAACCAGAAGAATGCTAATCTTTTATGCAAATAACACAGTTGAAAAATTCCATGGTAGTAATAAAATGACAGATAATTTCCAATAAGAAAAGTAATCTGATATTGACTGGCAATGACTGTTTTTCCTATACATCTCAAGAGATAAACTACTTAAATTTTTCTATTTGCTTTTGTTCATTTTATTTCATTCATTTATTTATTTTTTGAGACAGGACCTCACTATGTAATTCAGGATAGTCTTGAATTATTTTTTATTTTTTAGCTGAATTGGAGAGTGAACCCAAGGCCTGCTTGCGTACGGCAGGCAAGCTCTCTATCACTGACCTATATGTTTAGTCCCTTTCTTTCTTTTATTTAGGACCATGGTCTTCACTAAGTTGCTCAGGCTAAGCCTGAACTTGCAACCTTCCTACCTCAGCCTCCTCCATGGTATTACTAACATGTGCCACCATGTCTGGCTAATATCAAATATCTTTAATTTTCAAAAACACTTCTAACCTTATTTAGAAGAAGACCTCTCCTCTACAATATTACAAAATTACAGCTATCATTTCACAGGAAACACTATATCCTATTGTTGAGAATAATACTTTGAGATTAAGAAACAGGTAAAATGGAAGAAATGAAATTCAAAGATCAAAGTTAGTTTCTCAAATTAAAATTGGTGATTTGGCAAGATATTCCTACCACTTCTAGAAAACCAGTCTTTCCTAAAAGGAAGTGTTTGACTAAAACCATTTGCATTGATTTAACAGGAAAGTCAGTCGTTTTTCTACTTTTTTAAAGAAGGAAATTCACAAAGTTCTATGTTATCATAGATGTATAATGAAATAATAAATGGTTAGAATTTGCAAAATTATTTTAGTACCTGGACATTTTATCCTCTATTTTAGGAGGAAAAAATGTATGAATACTTTTCCCAGTGCCATCACACTGCACAATGCTCAGTGTGATCCATCACATGCCTTCTCTGCCCCTGACACTGAAGCACCACCCATACAGACACAATGTGAATGGTTACTTTTGGAGTTGTCCAACTGGCAGCTTTGGTTTTGTCTTAGAGGAAGCCAATGACTAATATACTACTCTAAAAATGCTACACAAGTTTCTGGACTTACCAGCAGTTTAAGCAGCCAAAACCGGGATTTATAATAGAAAGTCTTGGTGGGATTGATAAGAAAGAAAACCATAAATCCATAAAGGACAAGTGGATACACATATGTGGGGATGACACTAACTGGAGCAAAGAAGCATGCCAGAAGGCTCAGACACCACAATATCCCCAGGAATCCAGCAATCTGGTAAAGGACAAGGAAGACAAAAAGAGAACATTATTTTTATTCTTACCATTACTCAGAAGAATCTTTAATAGACCAAGGTAAGGAAAATAGTCAGTAATTAAGTCAATAATCCTTTTAAAGTAGAAGATGGATTTCAATACCCGTTAAACCAGCTATATAGCTAGTTTGGCAAACTATGTTCATGGGAATTTATGTCTTGCTTTACCTCAAAGAGATGTTGATGAGACAAATTGCTTCTTGGATTAAGTTCAAAGATAAGTACATGATTTACTCCAGCCTGTCTCCAACCATATGTGTTGATGCCCAGCAGGAAAAGGAACTCAATCAGAAGAAAGCCACCTCGATAGATTCTTATCAAAGGCCAGATACTTCTATTTGTTTCAAGTTTAAATACAGCTGAAAGAATATTAATTTACTGGTTAATTATAAAGTCCATATTTCTTTTAATTATCTTTTATTTTCAAAGACATAGCCTGGCATATGAACTTTTCATTAGAAAAGTCTAGAGATTATTTCAAGAGCCCAATAAACTTGTCTTCAGTTTCTTTCCTTTCTTCATTTTAGTCTACAGAATGCCATTTGAAAAATGTATAACTGACTTAACCATTTAGTCTTTATCTTTGTATTCCTTACACCACACAGAACATTTAATAAATGCAGAGAAAGACTTTGCTTTGGAATCAAGTACTGTAGACTGGATATCAAATTATTTAAGGGGCACGTTATTTAATTTTTCTAAGTCTCAGTTTCCTTGATCAATGAGGATAATGTCTATTCTCTTAAGTGTGTTAAGAAGATGAAATGTAAACGTATATCAAATGCCTATACTAATCAGATGTCTGTCCCATTATTAGTATTCAGTATATGTTTGTTTTACTTGAAAATACTTCATTTATTCAACAAATACTTATTAGATATCCATTATACCCAATACCATTGTAAGAGGTGGAGATTTAGTAATGAATAGTAGACAAAATAGTTACCTCCAGTTTATTACCATATAATGTGAGACATTGATAAGGAATACAAAGAAAAATTAAAGCACTATAAGGAGATAAAGACAGTATGTACCATTTTAGGTGGTGTGGTCAGCGAAGAGGCTCAGGAGATGATATTTGCAGAGATCTTAAGGAAACAGAATAAACCATTGAGGTATTTAGAGGAGTAGGACTCAGATAGAGGGAAAGTACAAAGGGCCCTATGACAGAAGCTCAAGGCCACTATGAATAGAATGAACAAGAGATGAAGTGGAAGAGTTAGCCAGTGGCAAAGCAGATAGTGTTTTCTTTGTTAAGACATAAGCTTTTATTCTAATGTACAGGCCAGTGGAAGGTTTAATATAAGTGATATGACTTGATTAATGACTTTGAAGAAACAAAAAAGGTGAAAAGGTCCCAAATGATCAAAACAGTGATCAAAGAGAACATAGTTGTAGGACTCACACTCTGTGTGTGTTTGTGTGTGTGGTAGTGGTGGTGGTACTGGGGATTGGATCCATGGCCTTCACACTGAGAAACATCCATCACCCCTTTTTAAATCTTTTATTTTCAGTCAAGATATTGATAAACTGCCCAAACTGCACTGAGCTGTGATCCTTCTGCCTCAGCCTCCCACAGTACTGGGATTACAAGAATGTGCCATCATGCCTTGTCAGTATACTTTACAGTTTTAAAACGTAGTCCAATGTTACAATAACCATAAAAATGTAACACTGGCATAAAAATAAGATATTCCATTTATCTAAGGAATAAAATTAAAAGTTCAGAAATAAACATCTACAGACAGTCGATTTTCAGTAAGCATGCCAAGAAGAAAAGTATTCTCTTCAGAAAGTAGTGCTGAGGGCCAGGGATTTGGCTCAGTGGTTCTGCCACCTGCCTCACAAATGCAAGGGCCTGCGTTCAATCCCCCATACCAAAAAAAAAAAAAAAAAAAAAAAAAAAAAA